TTCAGAGAACATGCAGTACACAGTTGACCATAGGAAGGTATTAGAGTTTTGACTGAGATTAAATGACATTTTATTTTTTTTTTTGTTTAAAAATATGTTTTTATTGCTTTTTTAGAGAGAGAGGAAGGGGAAGAGAAATTGAAACATTGATGTGAGAGAGAGACATTGATCGGCTGCCCCCTGCAGACCCCCCACTGAGGATCGAGCCCAAAACCTGGACATATGCCCTGACCGGGAATTGAACCAGGACCTCTCAGTCCATGGGATGGCACGCAGTCCACTGAGCCACACTGGCACTTATCTTTTCAATCATTAATAACCAATCATACTGTAGTTTTATGTTAGTTCTAATACAGTTTATTATATGGCCAAATTTTATTTATTTATTTTTTATTTTCTTTATCCTCACCCAAGGACATTTTTCCATTTTTTGTTCAGATAGAGTGGGAGGGAGAGAGAGGAAGAGAGAGAGAGAGAGAGAAACATCGACGTGAAAGGGACACATCGAGTGGCTGCCACCCACACGACCAACCAGGGCCGGGGACAAACTGCAACTGAGGTACACGCCCTTAGCGGGAACCAAACCCGGGTCTCTCGGGACCGCAGGCGGATGCTCTAACCACTGAGCAAAACCGGCCAGGGCCACATGGCTAAATTTTTTTTTTTTTTTTATCCTCACCCGAGGACATTTTTCCATTTTTTGTACAGATAGAGTGGGAGGGGGAGAGAGAGAGAGAGAGAGAGAAACATCGACGTGAAAGGGACACATCGAGTGGCTGCCACCCGCACGACCAACCAGGGCCGGGGACAAACTGCAACCGAGGTACATGCCCTTAGCGGGAACCGAACCCGGGTCTCTCCGGACCGCAGGCCGACGCTCTAACCACTGAGCCAAACCGGCCAGGGCTACATGGCTAAATTTTAAATACACTTTATCTCTACTGGTGGCAGGTGTCTTCAGCAGCATTGTTAAATTAGATTCAAAAGTGTACAAATTGTAGAATTGTCAAATTTCATGTTACACTGGACAAAAACCATCATCAAGGTTCTTGTCTTAATTGTGTCATAGATTCTAAGGCAGGTTCTCCCCATATATTAAAAATGACAAACACAGGTAACTCCTGGCCAGCATCCCATCACCTTTGGCCAACATTCACTTTTCCAGTAGCTCATCAAAAATTCTGGGACTCCTGGTTTGAGTCATGTTCTCATCTCTAAGCCAGTCACTGGTCAGGGGTATAACGTAATTAGCCAGGCCTATATCTTTGAACCACATGGTGTGATAAGAAAAGTACATGGCAGTGGTTTCCCAAAGGAAATAAATAAAACAAGGTAGCCTGCTGGCTTACTTAAAAAATGAAAATAAAATAAAAGGATGTTCATTGCAACATACTTTGTTTTTCTAAGTAGGAATAACTAAAAAACTAAAAATTTTAACGTTTTGGTTTTTATATATTCCAGTGAATTTCTTTTTTATTCCTTCTCAGGCTTTTGAATGCTTATGATGAACATCAAACACTCCTAAAAGAACAGGATTCTTTGAAAAGGAAAGCAGAAAATGGGTATGTACATATTTATTTAATCGGGAAGGGATGCTTAAAAGAAGATATTTCAACTCTGGCTGGTTTCCTCAGTGGTTAGAGCATCGGCCTGTGGACCAAAGAGTTGTAGGTTCGATTCCCAGTCAAAGGCACATACTTGGGTTGCAGGTTAGATCCCTGGCCCCAGTTGCAGTCGTGTGGGAGGTAACCAATTGATGTGTCTCTCTGCCATCCGAGTTTCTCCCCCTCCCTCCCTTCCACTCTATCAAAAAATTAATGGAAAAATATTGAGTGAGCATTAACAACAACAAAAGAACACATTTTATTATGGAAATGCCTTTAAAGACAAATATATATATATATATATATATATATATATATATATATGTATATATTATCCTCACCTGGTATGTTTATTGATTTTTAGAGAGGGGGGGAGAGAGAAGACAAATAATTTTGCTGTTGTTAATCCTAAACTGAGGATATTTTTTCCATTGATTGATTTTTTATTTTTTAGAGAGTGGGAGGGAGAAACATAGATTGGCTGCCTCCCACAGGTGCCTCTGCCACCAGGGCCGAGGATCAAACCTGTAACCCATGCACATACTGTTGACCAGAAATCGAACCCATGTCCCCTTGGTGCATGAGCTAACTAACGCTCTAATCACTGAACCACATAGGCCAGGGCAACAAATATTTTGTAAATCCTCACCCGAGGGTATGCTTTCATTTATTTTCAGACAGAGTGCGAGGGGGAGAGAGAGAGAGAGAGAGCAACAGAAACATCAATGTGACAGAGACACATCGAATAGCCGCACCACCCAACCAGGGCTAGGGACCAAACCACAACCAAGGCACATGCCCGATTGGAATCGAACCCGCAACTCTTTGGTCTGAGGGCTGACGCTCCAACTGCTGAGCCATATCAGCCCGTTACAACAAATATTTTTTAAATCCTCATCCGAGGACATTTTTCCATTTTTTGTACAGACAGAGTGGGAGGGAGAGAGAGGAAGAGAGAGAGAGGGAAACATCGATGTGAAAGGGACACATCGAGTGGCTGCCACCCGCACGACCAACCAGGGCCGGGGACTGCAACCGAGGTACATGCCCTTAGCGGGAACCGAACCCGGGTCTCTCCGGACCGCAGGCGGACGCTCTAACCGCTGAGCCAAACCGGCCAGGGCACAACAAATATTTTTAAATGTTACCTTTGTGTTGTGGTAATTTAGATACTTTTTTTTTCATGATTTGCAAAAATTGTATACAACTGAATGGTTGAGAACATCAGTAAAACAAATGTACACAGGTGACATTTATCTTTATTAAAGTACTTACCTGTAGGGGTTTTTAAAAGTTTCCATTTGAGCCTTGGGCTGTTTTGCTAAGTGGTTAGAGCATTAACCTGCGGTCCAGAGAGACCTGGGTTTGGTTCCCGCTAATGGCATGTACCTTGGTTGCAGTTTGTCCCTGGTCCTGGTTGGGTCGTGCGGGTGGCAACCACTGGATGTGTCCCTTTCACGTCAATGTTTCTTCGCCCCACTCTATCTGAACAACAAATGGAAAAAATGTTCTCGGGTGAGGATAAAAATTAATAATAAAAGTTTGCATTTGACCTTTTATTTAGATCTGAAGAACCAGAGGAAAAGAAAGTACATACAGAAGATACAACTTCATCATCTACACAGATGACTGATGGTGATTTACAGGCAAATCAAGCTGCATATAATTATAGTGCCTGGTATCAAGTGAGTTCACATAATTATAAATGAATTTTCTGTTCATAGATGTTATTAGAAAGGCATAAATTAGGATAGTCTTTTTTTTTTCCCCAGAAAAAATAAACTCTTCTTCTGTTCCAGATTGTATAATACATTATCTTTTGTGGTTAAGTTTTGGAACTCAGTCATAGTTTTTGTATACTAACATGTTTGCTTTTCCCTTTCAGTACAATTACCAGAATCCTTGGAATTATGGACAGTATTATCCTCCTCCTCCAACTTGATGGGAAAATGTAAATATCAGATGGACTGTGTGGAAAGTATGAAGTTTTTTTTGTTTTCAATGAGGGATGTAAACATAAGCTTGTCATATTTGATAACTTGTCTTCCCTGTTTCTGTGTAACATGATTTGTTTAGTAATAGGGAAAAAATGTCACTTAGTAGTTTACCACAGATACGATTTCCTACCATTTATAAAGTTTACTTTTTATTGGAGAACTATTTTTTTGATTTTTGCATTAAGTGGTCTAGAATTCTTTTGCAATGCATTTGCAACAGTTTTGTAGCCTTAAAGGTAGGAAAAAACTGACTGCAAATCATGTCAGTGTAGTACAAGATTCTGAAAATATATAAGGGCTGGTTATTAAGGATTTACCTCTCTGTGTAAAAAAAAAAAAAGGAAAAACCCCACCAAAAAATGGATTTTTAACCTTTGCTGACCAGGTTTTGTCTGTGTATTTAAATTATCCTTGGGAATTTTGATCTAATAGCAGAAAAGATACACTATTAAAATGCTGTCTTGGAATAGAGATTACAAATCAGAAAATCGAATGTTTGCATCCCTTTAAAAAAATGAAAATCATATCAAAAGTATGTTGTTTCAAGAGACTTTGTATTTACAATATTCATGTAAATTTGTGAGCAAGCTTTCATTTTGATCAAACTGATCATCTTCATTTTTGTAATAAAACTTAAGACTCATCCACTAATTGTTATGAATTTATTTGGGGGTTACCTGTTTTTAACTTTATATTCACCATGATGGTTCACTGACTTTCAAGTATGCTTTTCTTGAATTCAGCTATTATCTTCTTGCCAGAATTTCTTAGACTTTTAATTCCTCTCAATCTCTGTGCTTTTGCCTTCTCTAGTATACAGGGATATTTAAAGATTTTAAGATGAGCCCGGCCAGTGTGGTTCAGTGGTTGAATGTCGATCCATGCACCAAGTGGTCGCCGGTTTGATTCTCAATCATGGCACATGCCCAGGTTGTGGGCCAAATCCCCAGAGGGGGACATACAGGAGATGACTAATAGATGTTCTCTCTCATTGATGTTTCTATCTCTCCCTCTCTAAAATCAATAAAGAAAAAGGATTTGAAGAGGAGTGTCCTTGGCAAAGCTGTGCAATTTGACTGTCACTCCTGGGTTTGATGAAGCTGTAGTCCTGGTTAACTTAATAAGAACATTTTTTGTTATCTGCATCCAAGGACATTTTCGCATTTATCTTCAGATAGAGTGGGAGGGAAAGAAGAAGGAAGAGATAGAAACATTGATGTGAGAGAGACACATTGAGTGGTCGCCACCCACACAACCCTAACAGGGGCCGGGGACAAACTGCAGCCAAGGTACTTGCCCTTAGTGGGAACTGAACCTGGGACTCTGGGCCGCGAGCTGACGCTCTAACCGCTGAGCCAAACGGGCCAGGGCCAGAACATTAATATTGACACCAAACAAATCAAGACATTGGGTACTTTTTTATTGAGCCTTTTAGTTTACAACATGAGGTAAGAGGAAAATGAGTTCTCCTTCACCAGTATTTTACACAGCTGTAGTAAAATATTTTAAACTTCAAGGATTTATAATGGATTACATTTCTTAAAAGTGGGGAGAAAGTAAACAAGTTCTAACATAACTCCGTGAATTTTCCAGTTGACTCTTTCATTTCAATAGTAACCAGTTGTAAGTAGTTACATAACTTTCTTCAAGGCCATGCTAATGTCTTGAGACCTGAAGCATTGCTATTTCAGTCAATATCCACTAATTCTACTTCAAAAATGAGTTTTGCATTTGGTGGAATTCTGTTGAAGAAGTCAAGGTAAATATGATAAAACTGCTTCTTTCCTTATTCCCAATAAACTTAGTCTAAAAATCAGAATTATGTAGACTGGAAATTGGCAATTAACTCCAAAGAATAGGGCTTTATAGCTGATTCACAGGCAAATACATACTAGCCTAGTGGTTTCTAGTAGAGATATCTTTGTGAATAGAGATTATAGGCTGACTAGATAACTTTAGCTTGGACTAGGATCTTCCTTACCTGGATGCCTAACTAGTATTCCCAAATTAACCACCACTTAATGAAGACGGTTACCCAGTTCTCCCCTGCCACCATCCAAAAAAATTTCCATCTAGCTGGGTATATATTAAATCCAAGTTCATATGAGGTCGTACCTGATATTTGCTGTGAATTTTATTTAGAGAAGAGTGTGACTCATCTGATTGATCTTAAGATGCTTCATGAGAGAGAGCTGTAGATGGCCAACTCATTTTGATAGGCTTGGAAGAGACTATTATATTCCCAAACAATTTTAATTAAGAAGAGAGGACTTCCAAAAATCAGTTTTCAAGCTTACTATAACTGGTCTAACTAGTACAGTGGGAATGGAACTAATGATGGAAAAAACTATCTTCCCACTTAGCTACTAGATTGTTCTGGTTGGAATGGTCTGGAGTCATGGCTTTTTTTTTTAATGTTCACAAACTGGGCATATCAGAAAATAAATTATTGTCATCAGTATTAATCACAAATGTTTACAGTATGTTGGACCCATGGTCTCCATTTCACAACTGGTAATCCCTAACATGTTTTCCATTTTTGAGCTTTGAGTACTCATTTATAATTGCCTGAAATTATACTGTAGCAAAAATTACCATGAGCCATTATCTGCATCTTACAATTTGCTATACAATTGTTTGTACTGTGCATCTTAAATCCCTAAAGTAAACCCTTCAAACATAATTGCCTTTCACAGAGGGAAACATAAACCTCACAGTTTAAGTCTTGAAAAATTAAGAGCGTGAGTAAGAGGGGAAAGGGTAGGTTCCAGTTCAAGTTAGACTCCTTTGTACCAATACAAAATATTAACTATTGTCTATATTGGAAGTGTTGACCCAAAAGCATCTAAATGTCAGGAATACTGGTCTGAACAGGATTCCTGACCTGGAGGCTAACCTAGACAGCATCTTTCATACCTTCAGGTGACCCTTCTTAGTGACTTTTCTTTAATTACAAAGGGAAAAAGGATACTTGGCATCAGGCTGTCCTTTCTTTCCATAAGCCCATTCTGGTTCAATCTCCAGTCGAGCCTTTTCTCCTTTGCTCATAGTCAGGAGAGCTTCATCCCACTAAAGGCAAGAACATAAAATCAAAACTAAAATGATTCTCAAAAACTACATGCAAATCCAGAAGACAGGCAGGATTATATACAAAAAACATTTTATTACTGGACTTCATTATGTCATAAGGTAATATCCTTGGATAAGTCCTCAAACCATTCTTTATTCAATGAAAAGGATATAGTAAACAATTGTTTAGTATAATACTCAAATGCCTTAAATGATAAAATGTAAAAGCACTTCTGTAAACTGTAACATCTGGAAACATGGAATTTAATAGCACTAGAATAAAATTTTTGCTACACTTTTATATCACAGGACAAACTTCTGAAGTTATTTTTTTTTAAATTTTTTATCCTCGCCCAAGGACATTCCTCCATTTTTGTTCAGATAGAGTGGGAGGGAGAGAGGATGAGAGAAACATCGACGTGAAAGGGACACATTGAGTGGCTGCCACCCGCACGACCAACCAGGCCCAGGGACAAACTGCAACCGAGATACGCGCCCTTAGCAGGAACCGAACCCAGGTCTCTCTGGACTGCAGGCCAACACTCTAACCGCTATGCCAAACCAGTCAGGGCTGGTTATTGTTATTTTTATTTTTATAGGGATAAACTAACAAGTACTCACTCTAAAACTATTCTAAGATTACCAAATTGTTAACAGTGGAGTCATGATGGTTCACAAAACAATCTACATGCTAGAGTATTCATATATTTTGCAGAAGGTAAAACTACTCAAAGTGATAGAGCCTCAGTGGTTGAGCGGTAGACACAGATATGTCATACTAAAAATAGAATATTTCCCGCCCTGGCCGATTTGGCTCAGCGGTTAGAGCGTCAGCCTGCGGTCCGGAGAGACCCGGGTTCGGTTCCCGCTAAGGGCACGTACTTCGGTTGCAGTTTGTCCCCGGCCCTGGTTGGTCGTGCGGTGGCAGCCACTCGATGTGTCCCTTTCACATCGATGTTTCTCTCTTTCTATCTCTTCCTCTCTCTCCCTCCCACTCTATCTGTACAAAAAAATGGAAAAATGTCCTCGCGTGAGGATAAAACAAACAAAACAAAAAAAAGAATATTTCCCAATTGGTGTGGCTCAGTGGATTGAGCACTGGGTGTCTGTCCCCTGTGCCAAGAGGTCACCAGTTAGAGTCCCAGTGAAGGCACATGCGTGGGTTGTGGGCTCAATCCCCAGTAGGGAGCATATAGGAGGCAGCCAATCCATGTTTCTCTCTTAGATGTTTCTTTTATTTTTTAAAATGTGTTTTTGATTTTTTTTTTAAACCTCGATCACTTTTTTGTTACTGGTCCGCAGGCCAATGCTCTGTTGAGCCAAACCGGCCAGGGCTTTTTTTTTTTAGAGAGAAGGAAGTGACAGAGAGAGAAGGAAGAGAGAGAATATCTACTGGTTGCTTCCTGCACTCCCCCTTCTGGGGATTGAGCCCAAAACCAGGGCATTTGCCCTGTCTGGGAATTGGACCAGGACCTCTCAATCCATGGGATGATGCTCAATCCACTAAGCCACACCGGCCGCGCTCATCCATGTCTCTGTCTCTCTCTTCTCCACCCCTTCTTTTCTATAAAATAATCAATAAAAACACATTTTAAAAAATACATGGTTGCCTGGCCAGTGTGGCTCACTGGTTGAGTATCAACCCATACACCAAGAGATCGCCAGTTTGATTCCTGGTCAGGGCACATGCCCAGGTTGTGGCCTAGTCCCCAGTGGAGGGGCATGGGCATGCAGGAGGTGGCTTGTCGATGTTCTCTCTCATCGATGTTTCCATCTCTCCCTCTCCCTTCCTCTCTCTCTAAAATCAATAAAGAAAAAATATTAAAATATATAACCAGAAGAAATTTACCAGTATGCAAATTACAGAAATAAAAAAAATAGCTCAACCTGACTAGTAATCACTATCAACTTAGTATAATCAGGTAGCAGTAAGGTTATTCTACTAAACCTTTAGTTTCAAATTATTTTATATTTTGGGCTCTGGATATGATTGAATCATATTTTAGGAATTACCCACAGTACAAAGAATAACATAAAGTTCTCAAAGCTGCATTTAAATATGTGTTTCAGTTATTAATGTTTGATATCCTGAGTAGACAATTTAAAACAGTAAGTGGGGCCCTAGCATAACAGCCTGATTCAATGAAGGTGATAATCAGCACTGCTCTTTTCCCTCTTGTACACTGCAGTGGTCAGGAACAGCTGATGCCTAACTACCCCTTTCTTCTGTTTCCTTCTGTTATCTCAGGTAAAGGTGGGTAAAGGCATACTATGTTTGAAAGATTTTCTGGTGTTTGAGCCTAGGTTGTGAGAGGTGAGGTTATTAGTACAGTGATACCTCGGTTCTCGAACATAATTCGTTCCAGGAGGACGGTCGAGAACCAAATTGTTCGAGAACCGAAGCAATGAAACCCAATAGGAAATAATGGAAACTGGATTAATTCGTTCCAAGCCCCAGAAAATGCCTATTTACTGGCCTAATTTGTATATAATATGTAGAAAAACCTAAGTCTCAACAAGAAATAAAAGTGTACAGTATGTCTAAGGGTTAAATTCAGTGTAAAGCGTGACTCTCTCCACAAAGCGTGACTCTCCACAAAGCGTGACTCTCTCTCTGCACTCACACTGAGGACGCAAGCAAGGCGCGCTGGGCCGAATGAACGCCATTCGGCTCAACTCGGCTCATCTCGGAAGTTCGAGTTCCAAATATTTGTTCGGATTCCAAGACAAAAGTTTCTCGAATCTCCTGGTCGAATACCGATTTGGTCGAAATCCAAGGCGTTCGAGAACCGAGGTATCACTGTACTTCAGTGGAGCAGATATCTTACCTTTATTGATCATATTGTAAGTGATGCATAAGCCATGTAACATCTTACAAGAGGAATCTTAAAGACAAATTTAAAAAGCCAAACATTCTAAGAATCACTTTATGAAGAAAAAAATAAATAAAATGGGTAGGCTGGAAGGAAATATTTGAGTCTGTTATGTTACATGATTTAAGTGAAGTTCATTTAATCACTTAACAACCTTGAGGTAGGCTGTACTGTTTATTTTATAGATGAGGAAATAGAATGAAGGAGCTTATTGTGCCAGAAGAGTTAGTGATGATAGCACCAATGTGTCAGACAACAAAGATTGTTTATATGATTTCCCCAATCCTAATTCTTTTTTTTGGTTGTTGTTTGTCAATCCTCACCAGAGGATTTTTTCCATTGATTTTTAGAGAGTGAAAGGGAAAGAGGGAGTGGGCAACAGAGAAACATCGATGTGAGAGAAACACATCGATCCGTTGCCTCCTGCGCTTGCCCCATGAGGGTGGGGATCAAACCTGCAATCCAGGTGCATGCCCTTGACCAGGAATTGAACCCAAGACCCTCTCGTGTGTATGGGTCAACACTAATCATTGAGCCACACCAGCCAGGGTCCAATCTTAAATCTTTTTTTTTTTTTTTCCTTAATCGTCACCCAAGGACATTTTCCCATTTTTTGTTCAGATAGAGTAGGAGGGAGAGAGGGGAAGAGAGAAACACTGATGTGAAAGGGACACATCGAGTGGCTGCCACCCACACAACCCAACCAGGGCCAGGGACAAACTGCAACCAAGGTACATGCCCTTAACGGGAACTGAACCCAGGTTTCTCTGGACCGCAGGCAGATGCTCTAACTGCTGAGCCAAACCGGCCAGGGCCCAATCTTAATTCTTTATGGTACCATGCCAAGAGCAGTGTGTGCCAGAATCTCTACTGATACACTGCCATTTTTTACTTACTCCTCTGATAACTTTGCCTATTCCAACCTTAAAACTTAAAGGCTTGGCACTTTTCTTCTTCTTTGAACCTGTAAAACAGATTTTACTTATAATTAATGATGAAATTAAGTTCCAGTAGAAAAACATAGGGATTTAAGTCTTTAGATTTCAGAACTTACATGCATTTGAAAAAGGAAGTCAGAAACCCAGGTAATTTATCAAGAACATTCTTGATGAACAATTATGGTCTAAACAGGAGAGAAGGGAAGGACCTATATTTACACCACTAATTCGTGGTATCCTGCCCTTTATATTAACATACTAAAGCTCACATTAACCAAGTTTAGAATAAGCTTCTTTATTTTCGCTTTTCAATGACCAAGAGGTCTTTATTTAGCCAGCCAATAAGCAGTGAACTGAAGAGACCTCTTCCAAGTAAATCACAGGTACAAAAAACTTATTTTGGAAAAAAGTGACAGCCTTAAGAAAAAGGCACTGCCAACTGTTCATCTACAAAATATTTTGTAATGCCTTAAAGCCAAAAAGATAGGATTACATTTAGACTTACTCGTTTGAATATTGGTATCAAAAACAGTTCCATCCTGTAGTGTTCCTGTATACCAGCAGTGAACAACATCTCCCTTTTTGGGAAAGTTGGTTTTATCCCCTTTTTTAAGAACAGATTTTGTATATTTTGGTGGACCCTAGAAACAAAGACAGACAACACATACACAGAGTTATTAACTCATGTCCTTCTTAGGTTGACAAAGAGAACACTTAATACAGCCAACTGTCCCTGGCTGGTTTGGCTCAGCGGTTAGAGTGTCGGCCTGTGGTCTGGAGAGACCCGGGTTCGGTTTCCACTGACGCGTACCTCGGTTGCAGTTTGTCCCTGGCCCTGGTTGGGTCGTGTGGGTGGCAGCCACTCGATGTGTCCCTTTCACATCAATGTTTCTCTCTCTCTCTCTCCTTCCCACTCTATCTGAACAAAATATTGAAAAATGTCCTTGGGCGGAGGATTAAAAAAAAAAATCAATCAATGAAAGCATAAATAAGTGGAACAACAAATCTGTTTCTCTTTCTATCTCTCTCAAATCAATTAATAATAATGAAAAACAGTCCTGGCCAGTTTGGCTCTGCAGTTGGAGCGTCGGCCTGAGAACCAAAGAGTCGTGGGTTTGATTTCGACCAAGGGCAGTACCTCAGTGGCGGTTTGTTCCCGGCCCCAGCTGGGGTCATGCAGGAGGCAACCAATCGATGTGTCTCTCTCATGTCAATGTTTCCCTCTCTCTCTCCTTTTCTCCCTCCCTCACTACTGCTCTATCTGAAGATAAATGGGAAAATATCCTTGGGTAAGGATTAAAAAATAATAATAATGAAAAACAATACAGTTAACTGTCTCTGGCCAGATAGCTCAGTTGGTTAGAGCGTCATCCTGACATGTCAAGGTTGTAGGTTTGATCCCCAGTCAGGGCACATACAAGAATCAACCAGGGTGGCTCAGATGGGTGTTGGTTTCCAGTTTGATTCCGGGTCAGGGCACCTGCCTGAGTTAGACTTGAGATCCCCAGGAGGGGGCATGCAGGAGGTAGCCGATCCATGTTTTGCTCTCATATCCATGGTTCTCTCTCTGTCTCTTGCAAATCAATTTAAAAAATCTTAAAAAAAAAAAAACCAAAACACACAAAAAACCAAAAACCAATGAATGCATAAAAAAGTGGAAAAACAGCCCTGGCCAGTTTGGCTCAGCGGTTAGAGCGTCGGCCTGCGGTCCGGAGAGACCCGGGTTCGGTTCCCGCTAAGGGCACGTACTTAGGTTGCAGTTTGTCCCCGGCCCTGGTTGGTCGTGCGGGTGGCAGCCACTCGATGTGTCCCTTCACATCGATGTTTCTCTCTCTCTCCCTTCCTCTCTCTCCTTCTCACTCTATCTGTACAAAAAATGGAAAAATATCCTCGGGTGAGGATAACAACAACAACAAAAAAAAAAGTGGAAAAACAAATGTATGTCTCTTTCTCTAAATCAATCAATCAATAAAAATAAAAATATAGCCCTGGCCGGTTTGGCTCAGCAGTTGGAGCATTGGCCTGCGGACCAGAGAGTCCCAGGTTTGGTTCCTGCTAGGGGCATGTACCAATAAACAAAAAAACAAACAAACCGCCAAAAGCCACTATCTCATTTTAAGTCTGTGATGAGAACATTAGTAACTAGGATATTTATAATTTAATTTCAAATAACTTCCAGCTTCTGAGAAACCAATGTTATTTTGAAAAGATTCTGTGAATTATTCAACAAACTATAAAATGAATCCACTCATTCCTCAGGTTAGAGATATTATTACTATTTAATTTCTATAAAATCATAAGGCATTAAATAAAGCTTTGTGACATTTCCTCAAAGATATGAGTAGTTTTAGCACCAATAATTGACATTACTAAATATTATATCTAGTTAGAATGAATACAGTAATGTTGCATTTGTTTCTGAACTTGAAAAGAAGTTCACACAATGAATGGGGATTATCAGGGTCTTTTTTTTTGGTAAAGGCTAATCTAATCAATGGTGATTCATATATTGTGAGGAAAGCAATTTCTTAGTCACACTTAATATATAGAAATTCTATAGTATAATACATTTAGTAATGGGGAAGGAAATAAGAGATATTAAACACCTATTGTTTACCAGTCACTTACCACATAACATCCCACTTAATTCTAACAATCCTCTGAAGAAGGTACACCTACTTGCATTTTTGCAGATGAGACTGAGGTTCAGGGAATTTATGTGCAGAGCAAATGAGTAGTAGAGAACGAATACAGACTTGAGTTTATCTGAATTCAAAGTCCCCGTTTTCTCCACTGTATCAAAATACCTCAAGCAATAGTGATAATGATAACCTCTATTGATGTTAACAGTTAAAATAGTGTCTGTTGAGCATCCTACGTGTCAGGCACTACTCCAAATGCCTTACATAAATTAACTTTGTATTTTTCACTCTGTTTTCTTTTTAAAAAATTTTACTTTTCAATTACAACTTACATTCAACATTATTTTGTATCTATTTCAGGTGTATAATGAAGTATGTAGACAATCATATACTTTACAACGTGATCCCTCAATATTTCAAGTATCCACTTGTCAGTGTACATAGTTATTACAATATTATCGACTGTATTTCCTATGCTATACTTTACATCCTCGAGACCATTTTGTAATAAATTTTTTTTTTCTCACCTGAGGACATTTTTCCATTCTTTGCTCAGACAGAGTGGGAAGGAGAGAGAGAGAAACATCGACATGAAAGGGACACATTGAGTGGCTGCCACCCACATGACCCAACAGGACCGGGGACATGCAACCAAGGTACATGCCCTTAGCGGGAACCGAACCCGGGTCTCTCTGGACCGCAGGTCAACGCTCTAACCGCTGAGCCAAACCGGCCAGGGCTATTTTGTAATAAATTAACTTTTAATTTTCATTTCCTCAGGAGATAGGTATTGTTATCCCTATTTTGAAGATAAGAAAACACAAGGATAGGGTGGTTAAGTAGTTTGCTTAAGACCCTATAGCTCCTAGGTGGCTGAGAATTGGAAACCAAGGAGCTTCACTATAAAGCCCATGCTCTTAACCATTTTACTACCACAAGCACATACAGAATGTCAGGTATTATAGAAGTCGTTTTCTTATATAAATTCATTTAATTTCACAGTAATCTAACAGTCTTGACCCCATCTTTTATAGAGAAAAGTAAGGCTTGGATAGGGTAAAAATCCCTGCCCACTTCAGTCAGAGTAAGGATTAGCACTTTGAACTAAAGCTAGGCTGCCACTCTAAATCAAAATGAAGTCACATCTATAGCTTGAGTACAATGTGCATTATAAAAGTAAATATTTAACTTCCTCCCTGACACTCCCACCGTAAGCTCATTTTATGGTAGTATAAATGGTCAGGTGTCTACTGGTAGCAGTGTGAACTGGTCCCATCTCTTTGGAATGCAGTTTAAAGATGTTCAAAGCATAATAAATAATAATTCTATTAATAGAAATATATGCTTAAGAAGTAATTTGAAACTTACAAAAAATCATTATGCCACTATCCGATATACTATTATCCATAATTGCAAAATAACCACACACGTTATGGTAATACACCGTTTTTAATACTGTGGAAAAATTCTTACAATATTAAGTGAAAAATCAATAGAAAGTTCAGTAAAACCTCAACTATTTAAAGAAATACATGCATAAAAACATTAAAGAAAACATTCTAGAATGTGAAATGTTCATTCCTAGGTGTTGAATTAGATTCTATATTCTCTATCCTTTTCTGTTATTTTGTATTAAAAATAGCATGTTATTTCTATATCAGAAAAAGAAATAGTTTAAAAATATCTAGTTAGGCCCTGGCCTGTTTGGCTCAGTGGTTAGAGCGTCAGCCCAAGGACTGGAGAGTCCCAGGTTCGGTTCCTGCTAAGGGCATGTACCTCGGTTGCAGTTTGTCCCCAGCCACGGTTGGGATTGTGTGGGTGGCAACCACTCGATGTGTCTCTCTCACATTGACGTTTCTCTCTCTCTCTATCTCCCTCTATCCCTCCTGCTCTATCTGAAGATAAGTGCAAAAAAAAAGAAATCTAGTTAGCCCTGGCCAGTTTGGCTCAGCGGTTGGAGCATTGGCCTGCGACCAGAAAGTCCCAGGTTCAGTTCCCACTGGGGGTATGTACCAAAAAAAAACAAAACAACTAGTTACTTGACAAAAATCTAGTAATATATATCCCAAAGTTGAAAATTTTATTTAAAAAATTGTAAAGCTACAAAATGGAATGACATATCTTTATTTATGAGAATACCTTAAAGAAATTACACGTAATTATTTGAATGGCTAAGGTATGATTAGTGAACAAAAACCACATTTTAAATCTTAATGTCATTCCATTGTTTTCCTATTTGTTGTCCCAAGTTGCATGGGCATGTTGTGCTATCTACATTAGGGATCCTAGAATAATAATTCAAACACACATTAAATTGGTGTTTATGGTTCAGTCTTAACAGTGAAAGTACCAATCTGCCCACTGATAGCCTCCATTTCAGTGTAATTAAGTTCAGAAAACAGGAAGTCAAAGTTAAACACGCCTCCATTCTGCACGACTTCTCAAAGCTGTTTTTAGCAAATATGTACTGTGAATCTTCAAGTAGGAGACACAATGTACAGGTTTTAATGATACCAGGAAACCACCTGGAACTTCTGGGACCTATATAGCACATTTTGAGGAATGTTGCTCTAGTTATTCGATCTGACTTTGGGTTTCTTTACAAGAGTTGTATGCTTGAATGAACCTGGCTCTTTGGTAATTTCCTGGCTTTGCAGCAATTTCTTAGTCCAAAGTGATGAAAAGAACTACAATCCCAAGATTCAGTCTGACCTAGGTACTTCTAGACCCAGAGATAAAGGAACCTTGAGAGTAATCATGCAGTTGCAATTAACTGGATCACATCATGGCCTCTAAAAATGAGAATACCTTACATAACTCTTCCTATTATTATTATTATTATTATTACATTACTTTTAATCTTCACTGGAGGATATTTATTTCCAGTGGAAGGATGGGAGGGAGAGAGAGAGAAACATCGATGTGAGAGGGATACATCAATTGGTTGCCTCCCACACATGCCCTGACCAGGGCCAGGGACTGAACCTGAAACCCAGGTGTGTGCCCTTGACTGGGAATCGAATCCTCAACCTTTTGGTCTGTGGTCTGACACTCTAACCATTGAGCAACACCGGACAGGGCTTACTGTTAATTCAATAAATATTTGAGCATGTTCTGTGTTAGAAACTAGAGCTACATAGATGAGTTGGCAGACATGGTACTGGCCCTCCAGCAGATAATATAGACATCTGTATAATTATCTATGTTATGAGATCTGTAGAAGCAGCACAGGATGCTAAGATATAGTGGACACAGAACAGACAAATAGGGAAGTTTAGAGAAAAGACACACGAAGCAAGAAATGAAGTATGGGAGCTAGAAATTTTGTAGACAATGAGCAGGCATTTGTGACTGAAGAAGACCATTTTTATAGAAGCAGTAAATCTGGAGCTGGGCAGGGGCCAGATACTGGAAGATTGAATGTCATGAATGCTGTCCAGTAGAACTACAATGGGAGCTACAAATGTAATTTTAAGCTGTTCAGTTGCCACATTAAACCAATACATTGAATATAATATCATTTCAACATGTACTAATATAAAAAATACTGAGATTTTACATCCTTTTTCATCACACTAAGCCTTTGGAAATTGGTATTTTACACTGAAAGTACATTTCAATTCAGAATAGCCACAAAGTGCTTGGTAGCTACCTATAATAGTGACTACTGAATTGGACAGCGCAGTTCTAGACAGAATTACTGAAGATTCTTGAGCAGGGTATGGTTTGTAAAATATTATTTTAGAAAGCTTACCAGAAGAATCATTTGGGAACTGAATGGATGAAGAAAGAGAATGAAGGCAGATTAGTGACTTTTCCAACACTCAGGTATGAGGCCTTGAAATGCTTGAGAATCAAAAAGGAATAAAGATTTGAAAAATAAGGGAGATGTTTGACAGTATTAGTCCTGAGGGAGACATGGAAATGAAAAAGCCAAAGATTCAGAGAACTTTTAAGCTGGGAAGAAGAAAATGGTTACAACTACGTATGTTAACATTCTGGTAAAATAGAACACAGTAGTAAATCATGAGAAAGGAATAAGGAAGGATTGAGAATTTAAGAAAATTAAATTTTCCAGCTGGTGTGGCTCAGTGGTTGAGCGGTGACCCATGCACCAAGAGGTCGCTGTTTTGATTCCTGGTCAGGGCACATGCCCAGGTTGTGGGCCATGCAGGAGGCGATCGATGTTCTCTCTCATCGATGTTTCTATTTCTCTCTCCCTCTCATTTCCTCTCTCCCTAAAATCAATAAAGGGAGAAAAAGAGAAAAGAAAAAGTGTCAAGTAGTTTATATGGGCAATGTGATGAGGAACTGAATAAGGGATACTGTAAAAGTTGCTGAGTAGCAGTGAAACTAGAAAACATTCTTGGCTAATATTAAGCATTACTTTATACCAAGCCCACAACACTTTCATGGTTATTTCTCTTCACAGTGCTTGCTCTGCAGTCTCAAGGTATGAAAAGAGAAAGCAGACAGCAGGAGTCAGCACAGTACTGGCCAAGAGGCTATGGAATCCAGGTGCTAGAAAGACAACGAGAGCACATAATTGAGCTCAGGCTGGCCAGTTAAATGAAATGAAATGAATGAAAAGAGGTCTTAAATAAAAAGATATAGCTCGACAATTAAAAATAAAAAATAAAAATATATGGGGGGAAAAAAGGATATAGTTTAGGATCCCTATATTGTCTCCAGCTCTTATAGCCTTTTACTTTTATTTGTAACTCTCTTTTTCTTAACCTTTTAATAATATACTATCTGCTGCCTCATATCTCCCTTCTAATTTTCTGGAAGGTAAACTATGTTGCCAATTGCTTCTGAAACCCTTTAAGTAATTATTATACTTCTATTTGCCTTATTAACTGCTCAATATTTGCCCAGTATAACATGTATTAAATAATATTGTGGCCTGGCCAGTGTGGTTCAGTGGATTGAGTGTCAGCCCAAAGACGGAGAGATCCTGGTTCAGGGCACATGCCCAAGTTTCAGGCTCAATCCCCAGTAGGAGGCATGCAGGAGGCGGCCAGTCGATGTTTCTCTCTCATATCAATGTTTCTATTTTTCTCTCCCTTCCTTTCTAAAAAAAAATCAATAAAACATATTAAAAATAAATAATATGGTGGTTGTAAACCACAAAACTGCTTTGTGTGTACATACCCACAACTATTAATATGTACTTTTCAAACAACAGAAAAAGATTATGCAAATTAACTAGCTTTAGTCATAAAACATTTATACATCTATACTTTATCTTATATTCTTTCCACTAATACCCAAATGCTACACTTGATCAATAGGTTACACCTCTTTACCAGATCTAATATTATTGTTATCACTCATACTAAGACTGCCAGGAATGAAGAAGCTTAGTTAAGATGTTATCAGAAGTGAGAAGATTATATTCAGTTCAGCTCTACTGAGGCTGTTCTAAGAGCTGTCCTTAGCTCTAGGAAGGATGTCCATTTGCAGAAATAATTTTATCTGGTTCTTCAAACCTTTGTTACAAAAATATAAAACCTGGGTTAGGAAAGATGAGATGAACCCACACCTTGCAGCCAGGCCTGGATTATTTCTGTTGCCAAAGACATTATGTACATTTGAAAAAGCTAAAAATAATCAAAATGAAGTCTCTTTCAGTCAGTCCAACTTGGCTATAGAATCAAGATCTTAAAATAGCTTTGAAAGCTCAGAAGTTCTGGCAAGACATAGAGGCAATATAAAAATACAAAGCTAGTCCTGGCTGGTGTGGCTCAGGCAGTATGAGTGTCATTCCTTATATTCAGAGGTCCTGGTTTCAATTCCTAGTCAGGGCACATGCCTAGGCTGTGGGCTCAGGGCACATGCAGAAGGCACACTGATGTTTCTCTCTCCTTTCCTTCTCTCTAAAAATCAAAGCAAATGTCCTCAGGCGAGGATTTAAAAAACAAACAAAAACAAAAAACTAAGCTAGAGGTATCTCAAAGGAAAGGCTTCCTGATTAGAAAGCACTGGTTCTTAGGCTTCTCCACCTGCACCCCACCCCCCACCCCACCCCCACCCCAGGCCTTTTTCTGATTCTGTGCACCTAAGAGAGATGCACTCCAAATCACTTGGCTCACTGTTAAGTGGCCATACTCAACTACCCCTCACTATGAGAAATCAGGCTGGAGAACAAATACTTTTCTCAAATTCACATGAGAACTAAATAAGAAAATATTATATACAAACCTCATCCAGAGTCTCTTCAGACTTGGTTTCTTTGGGTTTATCTTCATTAAGCTTTACATTTTTCACCTGCTCGGACACTTTACTTATACTTTCAGTACCCTTGAAACGCTGTAAGAAAAATATTCTAATATTAATCATATCCAGGATTGGCTAAAAGCTAGGAGAGACATCTAGATGTTCAGCTTCAATTAAATGAACATCTACCTGCACCATGAGTATAGGCTACATCACCCAAATGTAAATAAATAGAAACTGCCTAAGAACAAAAGAAGAATTTTGTTAAACATTTTAATCAACAAATTATGACCCTCAAACCATCTCACCATATAAATTCAGAAACAAGAATCATGATTCAGATATATGAATACTATTCAAACAACTCCTTAATAAAAATTTTTTTCTGTGGAAGATGATCATTTCATAGTGAACACATACTGGAGAATTTCTTTAGAAAAATTTGTTTTTCTAAAGGCTCAGCATAAGTCTAACAGACTAAATTCATTAATGAAATGGAACTTACTTCGGATTTATAATTTTTCAGTGCCCTTAAGAATGTGTTGTCTTAAACTACTAGAGAATTATTTTAAAAATCTGGTCCCTTTCAAAATATCAAAACGTTCTGCTACACTGCAGACAGACTCACTGGATTTGACAGCCAGTCTATTTATGGTTACAATTAAGAAAAATTGCAGGTGTAAACACTTCAACGAATTCTGCAAATAAATGCATTCAAACTTATTTGGGGGGACATCCAAAATGATATCCTAACAATAAAATATAATAATACTTACCTTACTTTCAAAAAGGTGGTTATAGGCTATAACCAAATGGTCCTTGTTAGCTGTCTTGGCCACATTTTTAATGTTTCCTAATAACTTATGTTCTGCAAGAAACTATAAAGGAAAAAGCTGATTAGTCAATATAATTTCCCTCATATAAGGATCTAAAATTACAAAATGATCTTTTACGTTAATAATTTCTTTCAATAGTACTAATGATAGAAAAAAAATGAAATATTGTATTTTAAATCCTACTTCCTAAGAACAAAAAAAGATTTAAGGAAGACTGAAAAAAACTTATTGAGTACTTATAAGAATGATTTACAAGACTGGAATGTGTAATAGTATGTACGGGTCACACTGGTGTGTACTAACTAACCCTTTTTCCATCATGGAACTCACAGAAAAGCACATTTATACAAGCACACTTTGGTAACTGGGCAAAGCTATTCTTGGCACTATGGGAGCCTCCAGCCATATTGGGCACAGCTATCTTGACATATCTGTAACCCATTCTTGGCAGACTGAGAAGCACTGTTACACAACGCTAGATATATAGTGGTTCAGTTTATGGGCTGTGAAGTTAGACCATCTAGGTTAAAATCTTAGCTGATTTTAGACAAGGGACTAGACTTTCCTAAGACTCAGTTTCTATATCATAGTGGGAAATTAATTACAACATGTCAGAGGGTTAGTGTAAGGATAGTAATTCACAGCAGAATTACCTTTCTCTCAAATATAAGACTAAGTTGTCAGATGGACACCAAAATTCTATTGGCATATCAAGTCATCAAAATTAACTGAAAATCATGTAACATGGGGATTTTAATGCTTCCTTTTCTGACTTGTGGTCCTGGCTTGATTCCTCATTTTCTTATTTTCTCAGTTGTCCTCTCTTTTAACCTTTTAATAAAACAATTTTTCTAACACTATTCTATTTTATTTTTTTCTCTGCTTTTTCTCCACCACTCCTAGAGAAATGTTCTAAATGATAAAGGCTGATGGGGAAAGGATACTTTGATTAAACAGAAGTAATCAGTTGTTTTAGCACTCTTGTGATTTCTTTAGCAAGGTTCCAGAGAAATATCCCAAATACAAACATCTCCTTGATATCTTATGATCAATAAACTAGTGACTGTCAAATACAGGTTTAAGTATGTGAGTGAACATTAGAGAATATGCACTTAAAAGAATGTTATTAAAAATATCTCCAAGTCTCTTGAAATTGGCCAGTTTTACATTAGATTCCACATTGGGATGATCTGTTTATAAGAATTTGATGAATGAAGCCCAGTATTGAGGCATCACATTAGTCAGGGATATGCCTACTCTATTGTAGTGTTCTAGTTGAAGTATGAATTGGCTTAACATAATTCCACTAAAATGGTATCCCTGAAGCATGGTCTTTCTTTCTTTTTTGGGATTTTTTTGAAAGTTTGGAGAATATTTTGACGGTTTCAAGCAGGAAAAACAAAATTACATGAAAAGAGAATGCACTGAGTTGATAAAGGGAAAATTGTAAGGCAGGAGTTTGGCAAGTGGCTGCTAGCTAGTCTTTCAACTCTCTAAATAAGATGTTATGATCCTGTAATCAGTATAGGTACAGATACACAGGGACTTCCCCAAACAGGCAAAACACTTAGGGGTATGGTGTGCCATCAACTGCACAATTACATTTTGGTCTAAGTACGTTTATGCTCACTAACATTTCAAATACATTTTTAATCAAAGTAGCCTTTGAGGTTTATTGGTCAAATCTTTATAACATGGCTTTCGTCTTTTTAAAAAATGTTCGTTTTTTGCTGTGACCAATTTACAAACATTCCATAAACATTCGCTTTGCATCTATCAAACCACATGACGATGATCTTTCATCCTTGTATCCCCAAACACTGAGCACAGTTCTTGCTACAGATGTATAAATATTTGCTGATGTCAAGATGCTTGTTCAAGAGCATGGAGATGGAAGTTGGAGAATCATTCTACTCTCCTCAAGACCTCTCAAAGTGAAAAACTACAATCTGCTTAAAGGAGCCCAGAAACAACATTTCTAAACACGAGCTTAAAACTTAACTGCTATTTCTCTTTCTGCTAGTGGGCGATGCCACGGGCATAACAAACTGTGCAGTCGTTCAACGATTTAAGAGGTATGAATGATCTTAATTTCTGAAGGAAAAAAAAACTGTGACAAAAATAATGCGTGACAGCAGACGGATGGTTAAGATGGAGACTATGCTGAAATAATGCGGGGCGTACATTATAAGGAATGCAAAACTGATTTAGTTTGTTTACAACAATGGGAGACCGCTGTACATCAGTTGCGCGTGTAACTTCACCGTATAAAGGTGCAAAGGTTAAAAGGTTTTTGTTTTTTAAAAGTTAAATCGAAATCTACGGATTAAAAAACACACACGCATTAGTGTTCAGTATTAGTAAGGCTGAGAACAGCCCGTCGCACACCCAGTTCCCACAGAAACCCAGCCTTTCCCATTTCCCTAACAGCCTGCACTCCCCTCTAGGTCTCGCCCCGGCCCCGGCCCCTCACCCGCCGCCCCAGCGGCGTTATCTCCCGGGTTTCCTTTTTTACGGCCTCCAACCACTCAAAGATCCCAATGAGGTTCTAATTCTGCGATTGCTGCCAGAGAGCCACAAGCCGTAAATCTGCTCCACCCGCCCAAGTAGGGCCGGCCCGAGGGGCGGGAGCGTGGCTCCCAGCACACGCGAGGCCTCCCGGGCCTTCCAGGCCCTCGGCCGCCGGAGGACGAGGGCGGGGGATCGGAGGGATACGGAATGTACAGGCATCTACGGGGGGGTGAGGCGGCCCTCGGCCGCCCCAGCCCGGCCGCCCCGCCGCCTCTGATACCGAATCTGAACCGTGGTCCTGTAGAAACTTGATAATGTCCTTCTTGGGTAGTTGCTCGCTGCGCAGCTGCTCCACGGTCCAGGCCCGCTGTGGAACAGCCGCCGCCATCTTCCCCCGCTGCCTCGGCTTTACTGAGCCGGCCCGCCGCGGTTGGGCATCACCCCGCCCCGCCCTGGGGAGGGGCGTGGCCCCGGCGCGGAGCTGGAGGGGGCGGGGCCACTGCGCTACCCCGCGAGATTGGGCTGCGCCTTGATTGACGTCAAGGCTGTGCTTTGAGCGCTTCTTTGTTGAGTCCAGGTAAAAACTCAGCTGATGTGGCCAGTGCGGAAGATTGCAAGCTATCATGTATTCTAAATTGGAACCCTTGTGAGGGGACCTCTGATATTTACAAGCCGTTATCCATACTTGTTTTTTTTTTTAACGACGGCCTGGTATGCCTTTAAAGTCTATAACCTGCTAAAGAAAACAACAGAGACTTAGGCATCTCATCCCGTTTTATCTAATTCTAGCCTGAATGTTCACACGTAAATTGACTCACTTCTTGTCCATCAGAACAACCCATATCCGACCATTTCCCTTTTGAGACTCACATAAATGAAACTAAAATACAACCTGTCCTCTTCTCCCCAAAAATACAAACAGAAGATAAACAGTTTGTCTGAAAGCAAATTCAGAACTTGACCAAATAAAGCAATGTGGTGATGAGAGTGACATTATTTATGTTCAAAACACCTCATAATGCGTATAGTTTCCCTCAATATACGAGGAAACATATTTACAGAGGTTACTTAAAGTCGCCAGGTTTGGAGTGGAGAAATCTGAGATAGGAAGTTATTGCTAGAATAGACATACCACACCCACCATATTCACAAAGATGTAAAAGAGCATCAGAACGCCTTTTTTCTTTCGGATTTTCCAACGAAAGAAAACATAAGGACTAAATCATTTACTTCCCTTTTTAACAATAAAAATATTAAGATAATGGGTTGCCATTCCTAATACTGCAAAAAGGAGACCTGACATTTTGTCTTCTCAGCCTGGATAGAGAAATAAGACAAGATATTTAATTCAATCTAAACAATTTCGATTTTCACCTCATCCTTCGGTTTAAAAACACAACCAACAAGGAATAAGGCACGTTAGACGAACAATAATATTAAGTTCACAAAAATATGAGTATCCATTGTCCCGGGGATCTCAAGGTTACTTATTTTTATTATTTTAAGCGATTATCACTTTAGCAATGACGCCAGGACACCTAATCATTGGAAAAGGAACTCAAATTCAGAGTCTATAGAAAAACTTGAAAAGGGGACCAAATTTAGAGTAACTCCAAAACAATGCGCATGCTTCTCCGGGAGGGCTGCGACGGTTTCCGGGAAGCCAGCCAATCATATTCCCAACGCAAACTCGGTGGCGGCATTTTCAACTGGATAAACTGGCCTCAGTCCCGCCCTGTGGTCTCACTGTTCTGTGCGGAAGTAACCGATGGCGGTCGAAACGGTAGCGGTTCAGCTGCCACAGCTGCTGGAGTCGGAGAGAAGTCTTTGGTGGTCGTAGGCCTGATGAGCGGACGGCAAAGAACGCTTTTTCAGACGTGGGGCACAAGCCTCTCGCGACCCTCTGGGGCTCCGGGTGGCAGCTCTGGAAGTGAGCGGCCTCAGAGCCCAGGCGTCTCCAGGGCGCGTTTCCCTGCCGCCGCAGAGGCTGCTGAGGAACAGCCAGAGTCGGACGATGATGTGTTGCTGGTCGCAGTGTACGAGGCAGAGCGGCAGCAGAGTCTAGAGAATGGCGGGTTCTGCACCTCAGCGGGCGCCCTGTGGATTTACCCTACCAATTGCCCAGTGCGGGATTACCAGCTGCACATCGCCCGGGCCGCTCTGTTCTGCAATACGCTGGTGTGTCTGCCCACAGGGTTGGGAAAGACCTTTATTGCCGCCGTGGTCATGTACAATTTCTACCGCTGGTTCCCATCTGGCAAGGTAGTCTTCATGGCCCCCACGAAACCTTTGGTGACACAGCAGATCGAGGCTTGCTACCGAGTGATGGGTATCCCGCAGCCCCACATGGCCGAAATGACAGGTATTTTAGAAAGAATGGACTAATTTGCGATTAAGAGCTTGGTAAGACAAAGTACATGTTCTGGTGGAAATTGGGCTAAAAAATTCCTGACCCATGTGGAATGACTAGTCTCCAGGTTATATGTTTATCTTACATCCTCTCAAAACATCATCTACAGGCATACATTGTTTTATTGTGCTTAGCTTTGTGCTTCACAGATGTTGCAGTTTTTACAAATTGAAGGCATGAGCCTCCACCAGCTAAACGATTGCCACTTGCTTTATTGTGGTGGTCTGGAAACGAACCGCAATGTCTCTGAGGTATGCCTATACTTGTAGCATGTCCAGCCCTAATGAATAGGATTGCTTTATTCAATCCGAGAATCCCCATAGCTTGTTAGGGCACTTTTAGGCTATTAATTGTGTATATGTATCCCATCGGTTACCCAGTATCTTTTTTACAGGATCTACCCAAGCTTTCACCAGGAAGGAAATATGGCACAGTAGGAGAGTTATTTTTCTTACACCTCAAGTCATGGTAAATGATCTTTCTAGAGGAGCTTGTCCTGCTGCTGAAATAAAGTGTCTAGTTATTGATGAAGCTCATAAAGCCCTTGGGAACTATGCTTATTGCCAGGTAATATTTTGCTTATTGTTTTAAAAAAATCCATTGTGCCCAACTGGTATGGCTCACTGGTTGAGCATTGACCTATGCACCGAGAGGTCGCCGGTTCAATTCCTGGTCCGGGCATATGCCCAGGTTGTGGGCCCAGATCCCCAGTGGGGGGAATGCAGGAGTTGATGACCTCTCTCTCATTGATGTTTATATCTCTCCCTTCCTCTCTCTCTAAAATCAATAAAGAAAAAATATTAATATTTATCTTTTTTTTATTATTTTTTTAAATCCTCACCTGAGGACATTTTTCCATTTTTTGTTCATATAGAGTGGGAGGGAGAGAGAGAGAGAGAAACATCGACATGAAAGGGACACATCGAGTGGTTGCCACCTGCACCACCCAACTAGGGCCGGGGACAAACTGCAACCGAGGTACATGCCCTTAACGGGAACCAAACCTGGGTCTCTCTGGACCGCAGGTTGACGCTCTAACTGCTGAGCCAAACTGGCTAGGGCAAGAAAAAATATTTTAAAATATCCATTCTATTTATTTACTTTTTAATAAGTTTAACTCTTTGAGGGGAACAGCATTACACAGATTCTGTGTCCAATGGCCTCAGCAGGAAGGCTGCTATGGAATTTAGTACAAATCATGCCACTGTTTCATGAGCACAAGTTACCTTTCCCCAGATTACTCTGCTTTTGCTTCATTTGCTACCAGGAGTCACTGTGTTGTTCTTTGCTTTGTGTGTGTACACAAGCACATCTGCCTAGATAGAATTTAGTTTCATTTCAAGTATAAAAACAGCTTCAGTTTTAAGAAGAGCTGTGTGCTTCCTCTGGTTCCTGAGATCCCCGCCCCTCTTATAGCTAACAAAAGGATATAGTACTATAGGAATATAAAGTACAAAGTTGAAGAGGTGGGCTATAGCTGGTGAGGTACTTAAGGGCCAGGTCATGAAGGCATTTGTATTTTATGCTTAGCAATTTGAATGTTCTTTGTAGGCCACAGGGGATGTTGGCGGTTGGCACTCATTGAAAATGTTTAGCTGGAAGATACTTAAGATTTAAAAGAGAGAGGAGAGAAGGTTAAAGTTAGGGTGTGAAATGAGGGATAGAAGGAATTTAGGATGACTCCCAGAAATCTGACTTGGAAGATTGTGAGGATGTTGGAATTACTAGTCAAGATGAAGTGTTCTGGAAACAGAGAAGATTTGCGGTATTATGGAAAAGTAAGAAAAATAATACAGTTTTAGATTGTTGAGTTTGAGGTGTCTATGAGTAATCTAGCTGTGGATATGTAGTAGGCAGCAGGTGATAGAAGTGGTGTCACTGGAGAATTCTGAGCTGGAAATAACAGATTTGGAAATTGGCATATAGGTAATTAAAATTATAATAGCTGGTGATGCTAGGGAGAGAGTATTGCATAAAGATAGAAGGGAACATCGATTTTATTTAGTGAAAAGAGATGAATTTCACTGTCAGTTTGTGAACTTGTAAAGTAGTTTCTTTGGGGACTTTTCAAGTATTACTGTATTATATCTCTGTATTATCTTCTGGAGAATTGCCATCTTTCTTTTTTTTTTTTTTTTAAATCCTCATCCGACATTTCTGCATTTATCTTCAGATACAGTGGGAGGGAGAGAGGGAGGAAGAGAGAGAGAGAAACATCAACGTGAGAGCCACCCACACAACCCCAACCAGGGCACATGTCCTAAGCAGGAACCGAACCCAGGACTCTCTAGTCTGCGGGCTGACACTCTAACCGCTGAGCCAAACCGGCCAGGGCTGTTTTAGGAATTTAAAGGAAAGTTTGATTTTTAAAATTACCCCAAGGTAGCCTTCTTGTTTTTTAAAATTAATCCTCACCTAAGGATAAATTTTATTGATTTTGAGAGAGAGAGAGAGGGAGCAACATTGATGTGAGAGAGAAACATTGATCAGTTGCCTCCCATACACACCCTGATTGGAACCTGCAACCTAGGTAGGTGCCCTGACTGGGAATCGAACCCTGGTGTACAGGATGATGCTCCAACCAACTGAGCTACCTGGCCAGGGCACCTTATTCTTTTATGAATACATTTACTTTAAAAATTATGATCCTTCTATACATAATTTAACTTCTTTAAAATGCTAAAATAATTTTTTTTCATTTTAAATCTAATTTTATATTGGTATTTAATTTTTTTTTTTTTTGTGGTACACGCCCCTAGCGGGAACTGAACCCGGGACTCTGGTCCGCAGGCTGACGCTCAACCGCTGGCCAGGGCGGTATTTAATTTTTTTCTATTTTCATATTATGATATACTTTAATCTGGTAAATGTGCATATGGATATAGCTGCAGGGCTAGACTATGGCCTAAGCAATGAAGAATGGACTCTTTTTTTCCATTTGCCAGTGTAATGGGCCTTGATATAGTGACTTTATATATAGAAGAAACCCTAAAATGTTTTTGACTGGTG